TGCTTTCGGCCATGTTTCAAAGTGAACGCTTTAGTATTTTTCATGCAGTAAGGACAAGCTAGCTTCCCAAGCAGTCATCCACCCAGACAATATTGCATAGAGTCCAGCTCGTAGTAACCCTAAGACTGTGTTATGGCGAACTGGGAATGCCTTCCAAGTCTATAGTCTTATAAAAGTAGTAATGCCGCATTCCCTCTTCAGTTATCGTGAAATTTTTCGGGGCTCTTCTCTATGTGCTCCTCCTCCTGCTAATGCTAGTGCAACTTTGAAAGTTGTTAAAGCAAAGATTCGATACCTCTTTTATTATTAATTAATAATTGGCATTCTCTGATCGGCCTAGTCTCGTAATTCCTAATGATCTTGAAGTTTCCCCCGGGGAGTTCTGACTTAAAGGCAATGGTTAGGCTTTCTTCTTTCTCTTCTTTCTCTTCTTTCCAATTTCTGGCCTTGCACCGACCATCCAATGGACCATGGACTAAACGGCCACTGCCTGAAAGGACTATGTCCAGGGGACCGCCGCTCCCCCCCCCCCCCCACAAGGTACATCTCGCGCTTGTGGGCCGCTATCAGAATTGGAACAGACCAATTACCAGATCCACCTATCATCACCGGCATAACCATAAAAAAGATCATTAAAAAACGTGAATTAAAACATTATAAAATTGATGATTCCCACCAAGAATTTAGGACAAGCTCGAGGTCAATTCTTTCTTTTAGGAGAGATCACACCCCCTTCTTTAGCGATTTTTTGACGAGTTCCAGAACCACAAGCGGGAAAACGGCATGGTACTTTTCTTTGATTTCTTCTGGTTCACATTGCTTAATTCCCCTTTTCTCTACTTCTCTTTCATCCAGATATCTCTGTATCCTTTGTAGAGCCCCATCTTTGCTTTCGGGGCCTGGCCATCCTTTGTTTGCGGTTGACGTTCCGGCTTTGTCCGTTGACAGCTGAATTTTTCGATCTGGTTCGATTCATGATCGAAAGAAACTAAAGAAAGAAAAGAATTGAAAAGACATAAAGGAAAGAGTACAAAGAGAGATACGGAAATGTGAAGAAGGAAGGGGCGCGACCCTGCTCAGCTCGAAGAAGTAGCTCTTTCAACTAATCCATACTTTTCCTTTCCTTCTCCTCACTACTGTAAAAATGTTTAATTTCTTTTTTGCGGCTACCTTAACCCGAGGATCAAGCTTACCAGAATGCTCCAATTGAAGTAGTTGATCCAACATAGTAATGACCTTTAGTAGTGCTTCTTCCCTTATTCTTAGCATGACTGATATTGAATAAAGGGACGACCGAGGAGTACTGATTTGAGGGAAACATAAAGGAAGATGCCGAAAGGTTATGTTAAAAGAGATGGCTACGCAGGAAAATCGTTAATAGTCCACATTAAATTAGCACATAAATTGAAATTCTGCTTGGCCCTTTTGAGATATTGCGGCGTGTTGGGGAGGTTGCTTATGAGCTTGCCTTACCTCCCAGCTTGGCAGGAGTTCATCCGGTATTTCATGTTTCGATGCTCCGGAGGTATCACGGTGATCCATCACACGTGTTGGATTTCAGTTCAGTCCAGTTGGACAAGGATCTATCTTATGTTGAGGAGCCAGTGGTGATATTGGACAGGCAGGTTTGAAAGCTGAGGTCAAAGAATATTGCTTCAATGAAGGTTCAGTGGCGGGGTCAGCCGGTCGAGGAGGCGACTTGGGAGACCGAGCAGGATATGCGCAGCCGTTACCCTCATCTTTTCACTACTTCAAGTGTGTCTATATGCTCGTTCGAGGACGAATGAATGCTTAAGTGTGGGAGGATGTAACGACCCGGCCGGTCGTTTTAAGAATTTACACCCCGATCCCCTATTAACTACTTTCCCCGTATTTATTTCTGCTATTGTGAGTTGCCGGGAGGATTTATTTGGAGTTTCGGAGAGTTTTGGAACACTTAGTCCCTAAATGAGAGTTTAAGTTTTAGAATTTGGACCATAGTCGGAGTAGTGTGAAGACGGCCTCGGAATGGAATTCTGTTGGTTCCGTTAGCTCCGTTGGGTGATTTCGGGCTTAGGGGCGCGTTTGGATTGTGTTTAGGAGGTTTGTAGCTTATTTAGGCTTGAAATGCCAAAAGTTGAATTTTGAAGTTTCCGGTTCGATAGTGGGATTTTGATCTAGGGGTCAGAATGGAATTCCGAGTGTTGGAGTAGCTCTGTAGTGTTGAATCTGACGTGTGTGCAAAATTTCAGGTCATTCGGGCGAGATTTGATAGACTTTTTGATCAAAAACGGAAATTTAAAGTTTTGGAAATCCTTAGGCTTGGATTGGAGAGTGATTTGTGGTTTTAGCATTGTTTGATGTGATTCGAAGGCTGGAATAAATTCGTATGATGTTTTAGGATTGGTTGGCAGGTTTGGTTGAGGTCCCGGGGGGCCTCGGGTGAGTTTCGGGTGCTTAACGGAAGTTGAATTGGACTCAGGAAAAATTTGATATTGGCTGAACCTGTCATAACCACACCTACGTGAATGGGACCGCAGGCGCGGCGCCGCAAAAGCGGCTTGGTGACCGTAGAAGCGGATTTGGTCCAGGCTCCAAAAGCCGCAGGAGCGAGAAGTCGAACGCACCTGCGTGAGCGCAGGTGCGGTAAGGGAGTCGTAGGTGCGGAAACTCCTGTTTAATGAAAAGTCGCAGGTGCGACTTGATCTACATAGAAGCGGGCCCGCAGGTGCGGTCCCAGAGCCGCAGATGCAGTTTCACTGATCAGAAAAGGGGAAGAACGAGGGTTTGAAATCAAAACTTGGAAAATTAAATTGGGAGCTCGGTAGGAGGCGATTTTTGGAGAGATTTTTGGAGGGAGTTAGCTGGTAATGATTCTTAACTTCTTTTTGCTTATAACCCATTAATCTAATCATGCATTTATCATCTAATTTCGGATTTGGGATGAGAAATTGGGAAAAATTTGAAAAAAGGTTCTTAGGTCTAATTTTGGGGTTTAATCAAGATTTTGATATTGGATTGGAACAATTTTGGTATGTATGAACTCGTGAGAGTGTGAGGGTTCTGAATTTGTAAATTTTACCTGATTCGGAGACGTGGGCCCGGGGAGCGTTTGGTCATTTTTCCTAATTTCGCGTATTAGCTTAGAATATATTAGTTGAATTAGCTACTTGAAGTGTTATTTACATTATGCAATTACTTTGAATAGATTTGGGCCATTTGGAGCCGGATACTCGTGGCAAGAACGTGGTATAGATTTGATTGAACTGGTTCGAGGTAAGTGGCTTGCCTAACCTTGTGTGGGGGAACTCCTCTTAGGATTTGGTACTGTGATATTTGAAATGCATTGTACGTGAGGTGACGAGCGTGTACTTGTGCTGATTGTTGAAAATCATGTTTTTCATTTAAGAACCTATATTTCGTATTTTACTTCATTGTGTACACTACTTGAACTTTGAGCTTACTGCTAGCTTAGGAAAGCATGCCTAAATGACTAAATTGCCTACTTGCTCAAACTGCTTTATGTGAACTCTGTGCAGTATGCTAGGTTAGAATTACCTGTCTATTTTGGTATTAAATTGAATTGAGTTAATTATTCTTGTGTTGTTGCTGCGTGTTTACATTGGGACTACGGGCGGTTCCCGGTAGATCCCCCTTGTCTGTTTATTTGGGACTACGGATATGGTATTCCGGTGGATCCCCCTATACGGTGATATGGACTACGGGACAACACCCGAGAGATCCACTGATTATTTACTTTTGGGACTACGTATATGGTATTTCGGTAGATCCCCATGTACAGTGATATGGACTACGGGACAGCGCCCGAGAGTCCACTGATTATTTACTTTTGGGGCTACAGGACGGGATCCTGGTAGACCCCCGGTTGTTATCTCTATGTTGAGTTGTACACCTTCTGTGATTATTTGCCTTGGTTGTGGTTGTTGTTTTTCACATTATCTGTATTTCTTTACTATTTCTCATCTTCCTTATATATTATTGTATATGACCGGTAGGGCCCTGACCTTCCTCGTCACTACTCGACCGAGGTTAGGCTTGGCACTTACTGGGTACCGCTGTGGTGTACTCATGGCCTTTCCTGCACATGTTTTTGCGTGTGCAGATCCAGGTACTTTCACTCAGTCTTATCACCCTTGAGGCGAGGCGCTTTCTATAGAGACTTCGAGATATATCTGCCGCGTCCGCAGATCGAGGAGTCCCTTTTCATTCTCTGTAGTTGTATAGCCCTTCTGTATCTCGTTGTTGTTAGACATTTCTAGAGTTAGAGCATTTTATGTACTCTTAGCTTGCGATTCATGGGGTTCCGGATTTTGGGAGTGTTAGGTTGAAATTCTTGGATTGTTATATGCCGGGCGGCATATATATATATAAAATGCGCCTTGTTGTACTACTTTAACTACATATATAGCATGTTATAGTATATGTTAGTGTATTCATCCCTTGTATTACAAAAGTGTTAACGCATTACATTTATATTATTTAGATAGTAAATATAAAAGTGATTTAAATTTTGACCAATGTTGGCTTAATAATCGACCAAAGTTGGTCGGTTATTTTTCAGATATTAAAAAAAAGCGACCAAAGTGGGTCGGTAAATGCTTCCCCTGTATAAATCGACCAACTTTGATCGATAATTTCAAATAAGATTTTTATATTTTATAAAATATTTTAAATAATAATATAACTATTAAAATTTTATAACTGGATCCCACATTACCGACCAAAGTTGGTCGGTAATGTGAAATTTTCTTTGACTACATAAGTCTGAGCAGCTCGGTCAACCTGTTGATCACTTTACCGATCAAAGTTGGTCGATAATTTATTTAAAATAAATATGATTATGTGCAACACACATGATAATTAACTATGGTTAAGTATTAGTAATAGTTGTAGTTAAATAAAGTAATATATATGTCATTTGCTTATTGGTGGGGTGTCGGGTAAGTTTTACCGTGAAGCACGCCTATCGCTACCCACCAACCAAATTAAAAGAAATAACGACATGTGACATGATTTGTCGTTGGTTTTTTGGCTCGAAAGGGAAAGTACTTTAAAATACGGATTACTTTCACATTTAGGGAATCCACCGTCAGACTTTCGAAAGAAAATTTCCCTTTTCCGTGAACTTGTCAAAATTCCTGTGCGTTGTTCTTAAAAGGTGTCACTTGTACCATCTTTTAAGGATAGATCCAAAAACAAGATAAGAATTGCAGAAGTTTATCGAGTATTCACTATAAGTGCACCTCTTAATTTATACAATTTTCTTTCTAGTGAATCTACTGTTGAGATTGAGAAAGGGAATTTTGAAGATATGAAATTTTGCAAGAAATATGAGGAGTATATGGAGGGGCAATTAGGGCAGAATAATAAGAAACTGCCAAGAGTGGGTCTTAAGAAATTGAAGAAAATATTGAAGAAGTGTAGAAGGTGCCACCAATCACCTAGTGTTGCTGCAGATACTGCTACAGTACATGACACCTCCACTTGCCCTCATCAATGCACAGGTTTGTTAATATAATTGTTGAATTAAAATTGCTTAAGTATATGCAAATCTGTGGTTCATTCATCTCTGATGACCATATTTAATTTGCTGCTTTAGTTTGATCCATCGTTGCATAGTCAAATTATTTTGTATAGGATAAGCTTAAAGTCGCTCCCTTTTGAATTTTTGATAATACATGTGTTAGAACCTTTAAAACTTGTAAATTCATAAATTCTCTTTTTTGCTTATACACGTTAATTTGTTGAGTTAAAATTTGCTTAAACATATGAAATCAACTCTATGGTTGATTCATCTCCGATGAGCCTAGTTGCTTTTTTAGTTTGATCCATCATTGCATAATCAGATTATTTGTATTTTGTTTAGGATAGCTTAAAGTTGGCCAAAAAGAAATGTAAATAGATTCACTGGCTTTTGAGTTTTTGACAGTATATGCCCTAGAATAACTTTAAAACTTGTAAATGCATAAATTCTCTCGTCGCTTATATACACGTTAATCTGTTGAGTTAAAATTTGCTTAAATATATATAGATCTGTGGTTGGTTCATCTCCTCATGGGCATATTTGCTGCTTTTGTTCTCATGGTCATATTCAAATTGTTTTGTATAGGATAACTTAAATTTGATAAAAGTGAAAGAAAAAAAAAATTTGCCCCTTCTTGAGTTTTTGAAAATTTATGCACCGGGACAACTTTAAGACTTGTAAAATCAATGAATTTTCTTGTTTCTTAGTACTATATTTTATCTCAATCATCTTATAAAGTTCTAACTTCTAATATTTTTATCAACTTATATTGCTTAAAATACTTAGAATCTCTTGTTGATTACATCTCTAATGACCATATTTGCTGCTTTAGTTTCACCCTGGAATTTAACTTTTATCGCATTTTCAGATTAATCTGGTGTAGATGACTTGAATTTGGTAAAAGAAAAACGAAGAAATTCGCTCCATTTTATAATTTTTGTTCTTTTAAAGCTTGTAAAATCAAAAACTTTTCTTCTTGTTTCATAGATGTTTTATACCAATTATCATTATAAGGCTAATAAATCTATCAAGTTATATTGCTTAAACATATGTAGAATATCTGGTTGCATCTCTGATGAGCATTATTTACTGCTCTAGTTACATTCTGGATCTGGAATTTAGTGTTTATCGCATTGCAAATTAACTTGGTACAGGATAGCTTGACTTTGGTAAAAAAGAAACAAAGAAATTCTTCCCTTTTGAGTTTTTGACAATTTATGCACCAGAACAATGTTCAAGCCTGTAAAATCTAAAACATTTTCTTTTTTTTTTCTTAATATATCTTATCTCAGTCTATAAGTTCTAACAAGTTTTCCTCCTCTGTAGTTTGTGATGGAAGTTTTTTTCCTTCTCTCCTTAAGGAGATGTCTGAAGTGGTTGGCTGCTTTAATAAATGTGCACAGAGATTGCTTGAACGGCATCTCTCCTCGGGTTTTCGCAAGTGTCTTATCTTGCTCAAAGAAAGAATACAAGGAAACCATATTGCTTTAGTTCAAGAAGGAAGAGAACTGGTCACCTATGCGATAATCAATGCAATTGCCATGCGTAAAATACTTAAGAAATATGACAAGGTATTTTCCGTTTGGGCAATTAATTCAACACATTTACTGAGTCATTTTGTTTCTATTATTAACTAGTTATGCCTATCTGTAGGTTCACTATTCTAAGCAAGGTCAGGCATTCAAGTCACAAGCTCAAAGTATGCACATTGAGATCCTTCAATCCCCCTGGCTCTGTGAACTTATGGCTTTTCACATCAATTTGAGAGAAAATAAGGCAAGAAATGAGAATGCTCTTGCACTTTTTGACGGTTGCTTCCTGTTATTCAATGAAGGGAAACCATCTCTCACTTGTGAGCTCTTTGATTCTATCAAGCTTGATATTGATTTGACCTGTTCTATTTGCTTGGTAAGTGCTTGCTTTTCTCCAAATCTTTCCTTTTATGTTATCAGCCAAGTACAACCCCCCCCCCCCCCAAAAAAAAAAAGTTCCCTTTAAATTTAGTACAGTCAAACCTCTCTATAATAATCACCTCGTCTGTTCCGATATTTTTTGGCTGCTATAGTGAAATGTTGTTATAGAGGACATATATTAAAACATAATATAAAAATCGGTTCCGAGAAAAACTTGACTTTTATAGTGAATGGTTGTTTTATAGGAATGCTGTCATAGAGAGGTCTGACTGTATCACATTCAAAATTTTGCTTGAAACACAATTCTGGAGAAAGGCTAACTTGTTGGTGTGTGTGATTTAAGTCTTTTTGCTGTAATACAGAGAAATTATCTAACTGTTGCTTAACAATTGGAAACCTTTGCATATGAAAAGCATCAGACTTCAAATCTTGATAATGTGAACATCATTCTTAACATTTTTAATTGATGTCACTATAGTTGCAAAACTGTGATCTGGGGTTAGCTGGTTCTTAGCGTCAGTGATGAATGTGTTTTACCCTGTAATCAATTTATCCCGTGCTTGGACTCAGTGATAGGTGGTTACGACTTGTATGTGCAACCAGCTAAGGCCTCAGAGCTGGTCAAGGTATTCAATTTTAAAGTTGCAAGCTTGCCCATGATCTCTTTGTTCAGATAAAGAGATAGTTATTCGTTGGCTCTTGAACTTCTTTTAGCTTGGATTGGGTACTTTAGTTTTTACGTGGCTGATTCAAGATACTATTCTATGAAATATCTAGTACTTGGTAGTTGTTTGGTTGCCTGTTGGGTATTATGCTTCCCTAGAATTTGGATACTATCCAAGTATTATGAACTGGATTGTAGACTTTTTATCTCAAGTCGAGTACACTAGACAAATAAGGATATCCAGCTGCTACCAATCTACTAGAGTCCAAAACTTTTGCTCAATTCTGAGCAAGTTATGTAACCAACTTCACTAGTTCTGTCATGGGCGGCTTTCCAGCCATGCCCCATGACCCCTTGGGCGCGCCCCGTGGCGTCCTAGCAAGCCTCCCAATGCCTAGCGCCACGGACGGCCCCGTGGTCTTGGCCGCGCCAAGTGACAAGCGCGCAGGTGCCTCTGTCGCCCCACCGATATCCCTCGCCAGCGCCAAGCCGCAGGCAGAAGTCAACAGCGCGGTGCGCGCAGACAACGCCGCGCGCGCAGACCGTGATGCCAAAGACACTGCTGCTGACAACGGACCTGCTGCTGCCTTATAGAAAACTAAGTCATTTTCATTGTAAATATATAGTAGTTTTATTTCATGTACTTCCATTATGTTTCTCTAGCTTAGTCAAGTCTAGTCCTGTAGCTTTGGATTATTTTTTTTAAGTATTATTAGGGGGGATCAAGCAATCAAAACTTTCTAGCAAGCAAGCAATTCTCTGTACTGGTGTCTCTCCCCCTCGACACCGCGTTGCTTTTCTTTAATAGCTTTCATTAATGCAATCAAGCTTTCTTTCATTCTGAATTCTCATTTCTGTTCTCTCAATTGCTCTTGACATTGGTTTTCCCGTACGGCACTGACAATCTTGTCTAGCGTACGGAGGGGACCTCAGTTGGCGGACAGCAACTGCACTGACATCAGTTGCCTAGCCTTACGTCGCCCTTCCAAGGAATCTCAGGAAGGCGCCGCGTAACAGTTGGTATCAGAGCCTAGGCTCGACATCGGACGAGGGAACGCATTGACATTACCACCATTTCTGACCATGGTGAATCATGGGGACCGCATTGCAGCTCTCGAAGGGACGGTTGAGGTATTACGGCCTATTGTGGATACGGTGCCTGAACTAAGAACCAGCCTAGTGCAAAGGTTGGACGACCTGGACCGCAGGGTGCTCCAGGCCGAAGTTGACATTGAAAACATCAGTCGCGACTCCGAGGGAGACCGACAGACGGCAGCCACAGAGGCAGCCGAAATTTTTGAGAAATTCGAGGGGCTCCAGCAGGAGCGCGCCGAGGATTTAGCCCACAGGGCACAAGAAGCAGACAGGGTGACTGCCATGCAACAAACTATTGACAAATTGACAGACCAGCTCAATGTTGTCAACGCTGCTTTACAGGGCCTACTCCGAGGAGGTGGAAACCAAATCGGGGGCGCTGTGAACTCTGCTTCCGCGACACAGAAACTGAAAATTCCTGAGCCAAAGCCATACAGTGGAGCTAGGAATGCCAAGGAAGTGGAGAACTTCATCTTTGACGTCGAACAATATTTCGATGCGGTTGGGGGCCTAGAGGAAGCTAAGAAGGTAGCAACTGCTGCCATGTATCTTCAGGGCGATGCTAAGCTCTGGTGGCGGGTGAAGTACGAAGCCATCAAGGCCGGTGAAGATACTCTCGAGACATGGGCAGAACTGAAGGCAGCCATACGCCTACAATTCTTCCCCGAAAATGTTGAATACAATGCAAGGAGAAAACTACGGGAGCTCCGCCAGACAAAATCAGTGCGGGACTACGTGCGGGAATTCTCCGCGCTCATGCTAAGCATACGCGACATGGGGGACAAAGACAAGCTCTTCACCTTCCTGGAAGGGTTGAAACCCTATGCCCGTGTGGAGCTACAAAGACAGAGGGTAGATACCCTTCCCAAGGCGATCCAAGCAGCTGAATGCCTTGGGGACTACCAAATGGAAGCTCGGAAGGACAGGCCCCAGCCGCCTGCCCGAGCGGGATTCAAAGGGGGCCAGCCTAGCAATGGTGGCCCTAGCAAAAATGGGGGAGATCGGAACTCAAACAAATCTAGAGCTCCTTCCTTCGGCAGCAACAGTGCTGTGTCAAACAACAATGATCGGGCGAGAAAGCCTCCTTCAGGATGCCGTCATTGCGGCGGTCCACATTGGAACAATGAGTGCCCACATGCACAGATGAATGCCCATCAGGCTATTGATGATGGGACTGATGACGACTCAGACGATGCGGACCAGACTGAACCAGTAGGTGCCTTCAATGCAATTGTGGGTTCCATTTCTGAGGCACTAGCGGAGACCAGTGCTGGTATTCGTAAGAAGAAGGACCCATGTCCCGTCACCAGGAAAGGGAAAAAGAGGGCGAATGAAGAGACTCCTCTTAAACAAGAGAGGACCTTAATGTTCGTCGAGATGAAAGTGAATGGCAAGCCCATTCGGGCTATGATAGACACGGGTGCTACCCACAACTACTTAGCCTCGACTCAGGTGGAGCGCCTTGGACTAGTTGTAGGGAAAGGTAAAGGTAACGTCAAGGCTATCAACTCACCTCCCCAGCCAGTGGGTGGAATAGCTAAAGAAGTACCGGTGAAGCTTGGGCCTTACGAAGGAAAATTCAACCTGCGAGTGGTGATTATAGATGACTTCGAGTTGATTGTTGGGCTGGAATTCCTAAGGCAAACCAACACCATGCCTGTACCATTTGCAGACATGCTACTGATGATGGGTACCAATAGGGCCAAGCCCCGCATTATCCCGTGCCTGCCCATGAAGATGGCCGTTGAGAACATCTCGGCCTTGCAGTTGAAGAAGGGGGTCAAAAGGAATGAACCTACGTTCCTGGCAACCCTTTGCATTGAAGATATAGAACGCTCCTCGGGTCCCATTCCTGAACCCGTGAAGGAGTTACTACTGGAGTTTGAAGATGTCATGCCACAAGACATGCCAAAGCGGCTCCCGCCTAGGCACACTGTGGACCATGAAATTGAGTTGGTGCCGGGCGCGAAGCCACCTGCCCGGGCGCCTTACAGATGTTACAACCCGAACTCACCGAGCTTCGGAGACAATTGACGGAAATGCTAGATATAGGGATCATTGTACCTCCAAAGTCCCCATATTGGGTCCCCTGTTCTATTCCAAAGAAACATGATGGCAGCCTGCGACTCTGTGTGGATTATCGAGCTCTAAACAAATCACCGGTGAAGAACAAGTACCCTATTCCCCTAATGGCAGAACTTGTTTGATAGACTGGGTGTGTGTTACGTGTGTTAACCAAGATAGATCTGAAGACAGGTTATTGGTAAGTTCGGATTGCAGAGGGTGATGAACACAAGACGACCTGTGTGACAAGATATGGGTCGTACGACTTTCCTGGTCATGCCGTTCGGCTTTGACCAACGCCCCTGCTAACGTTTTGTCACTCTCATGAACCAAGTCTTCCGAGAATACATCGACGAATTTGTGGTGGTCTACTTAGATGACATTGTGGTATATAGCCAGATCATTGGAAGAACACCTAGTACACTTGCGGAAGGGTCCTAGCTCGGTTAGGGAGCATGAACTATATGCAAATTATCCAAGTGCTCCTTTGCGCAGAAGCAAATTGATTTCCTCGGACATGTCATCGAGGAAGGACGCATCAAAGATGGACAACAGAAAATCCATGCCATACAGATTGGCCGCCGCCTAAAGGATGTCCACTGCCTTGAGGGCGTTCCTTGGCCTATGCAACTTCTAACACGGCGGTTTTGTGAAGAACTATCACTTATCGCAGTGCCATTGACAGAACTCCTCAAGAAGGTCACACCTTGGGATTGGGGACCAAGGAGAGCAGAGGCCTTCAATCGCATTAAAAGCGGCTATGTCTAGTAGCCCGTCTTGGCCCTTTCTGATTTGGCCAAGCGTTCGAGGTAAACAGATGCATCTGACTATGCCCTCGGCAGAGTCTGCTACAAGAAGGGCACCGCTGTAGCGTACGAGAGTCGGAAGCTAAGGATGCAGAGCGGCGCTATGGCGCCATCAATGAGAAAGAATTATTGGCTGTCGTTCCACTGCTTTGCGCCTCTGGAGGCACTATCTATGCTGGACCGCGTAACCGTTATCGTGGTCAAGACAGACAAACACAGCTGTTAGCCATTTCCATGACCCAGCGAAGCTGAAACGGTCGAACACAGGCCAGGTGGCAGGAGCTCCTAGCTGAATTCCACTTCAACTTGGAGTATCGCAGTAGAAAGACCAATCATGTTGCTGATGTGCTCAGTCGGAGAGCTGAT